TTATTCAGGCCGGGTTAAAAAGACATTTTTTTTAAATGAGCTCCAAAAATCATAGCCTACCCCTATTAAATCATGGGTTAGGCCACGCCAGTCCTACGGGCCTAGCCCATATTGGTGGCTTTATACAAAATCTAAAAGTTAGATGATAAGGTTATTAATATCCTAAAAATATAACGAAGGATATTTAAATATTATTTGCGATTGTTCATGGATATATTTGTTTTCATTTTTCCTTCTAGAAAAACATCATAATATTACATTATTTATTATGAACATTTTACTTATTTAGTAAGATAATATAAAGATTATATAAAGAATTGAAGCAGTTTTCACAAATTATGAAGATTTTATAATTTATAAGGAAACAAAACTTGAAGGATGATTAATGATAATTTAGTTTATGTGAGATGGTGAAACCGGGAGAAAATGATCAAAATAGTCCTTAAAGTATGGACTTAGATTGATTTGGTCCCTCATATATGCACCTTATGGAAAAGGTCCTTTATCTATGTTAAAAACTTATCAATTTAGTCTTTTACCCTAAAACCCTAACAGACAAAAACCAATTCTGTCAAATTAAACAGAATAGTGCAGAGCATGTGACATACAAAAAACATTAACAAAACCTCTGTTTTCTTGGATCAGTCCAAACCATGAAAACTCCCGCCTTTCTAGCAAAAAACACTCCCGCCTTTCCAACAAAAAAACCTCTTTTCTTGTAAATCAATCGACACAAGTTTTTCCCTTGTTGAACGATGTTAATCAAAAGAAACTCCAAGGGATCGAGCCCATGTTATGGTAAGAATTTATCTTGCTTTAGTCGAGGCAATTCAAAGGCTCAGTCTATTTGGTATTCAAAATTTGCAAGGTTGTTACTACTATTTTTTCAATCGTTTTATATAAGATTCGTTTTTTTGTTTTTGGTGATATGAAAATCTACCGTTTTGATTTTTTACTATTGGCTTTTTTTGGTTTGTGTATTCAAGAATATCTAGAAGTTATGGTGTACAAAATATACATGTATAGTTACACCTATAATGTGGTCTTAATCGGCTAAAATATGTAATCTTTTACTGCAGATTCTGTGTTCGAGGAGTCTTTTTTTAGTATCAAAGTTTATCATAAGGATTGATAAAACATCAACTAGCCAAACAGTATGTTGGTGGTATCATCGACTACTTTGATTATGTTGAATTGAAGAATCTCAATCTTACTGACTTGAAGAAAATGGTCGAATTATGTGGTTACCTGAATGATTCAATAATATTTTGGCATAAATGTGAGAAGCTTGGTAACAAATGGAGATTAGTCTCCACGGAGGTTGAAGCGAATAACATAAAAAAATTCATCCCCAAAGATAGAGTAGTGGAGTTATATTTTGAGCATTTGGACTCTTATATTGGAATAGACGATCCAATTGGTTGCAGAACTAGTCGCATTCCAGAGAATGAAGATGTTGTTGGACCTATTGACAAAGAGTTTGAAAGGGAAAACTTATCTTCGAAAGATGATTTTGAGGATTCTGAAAACGAATTCTCCAATGATGAGGCGATGGTTGATTCACAAGGACACTATAAACATAGTTTTGAGGATGGCAGAGAGCTTATTACTTATGAAATTCAAAAGAAGATGTTACATGAAGATGGGGATCCTGATTGTGTGAACTCTGAGGACAATAAGAGTTTGGATGGTGATTCAGACAATGAAAGTTTTGATTTTCCGAAGCATAATGCAAAAACCGATGGAAAAAATCCAATTTTGGCTTTGGAATATACTTTCGAAAGCAAGGAAGAGTTCAAAAATGCTGTCACAACTCATGAGGTAAGCCAAGGAAGGTATAGTCAGTGGAAAAAGAATGATAAAGTAAGGATGAAAGCTAAGTGCATACACAATGATTGCAGCTGGGTAATAATGGCGTCAAGAATGCACAGGGAAAAGACGTTTCAGGTAAAAACTTACAATCCCTCACATAGTTGTAAAAATTGGCACCATTATAACAAGACGATAACTTCTTCATTCATTGCAAGGACCTATCTTGATAGAATTAAACATAATAGGGGATGGAAGATGTCTGAATTCAGAGATACGGTTAGTGTCGAGCTTTAAGCTCATGTTACTTTAACTCAAGCTAGGACGGCTATGAAAAAGGCAATTGCATTACTTGATGGAAGTTTAAAAGATCAATTTGCCATTCTTTGGGACTATGTTCATGAGATTGACAAAACAAATCCAGGCACTTCAATATATATGAAGTTTACTGATAATGAGATGCCTAATAAGCCATACAGATTTCAAAGAGTCTACTTATGTTTTGCTGCTTGTAAAGAGGCTTTCAAAGTTGGATGTCGCAGAATAGTAGGTGTAGATGGATGTTGGTTGAAGGGACTGATGTATGGGAATCAATTACTGACAGCAGTGGGTCTCGATGCTAACAATAACATATTTCCAGTAGCATATGCCGTTGTTGAAAGGGAAACCAAGGAGACGTGGTCATGGTTTTTAAACCACTTGGCTGGTGACTTAGAGATTGACAATCAAGAAAGCTGGACCTTTATGTCGGACAAACAAAAAGGTCTTGTCGAAGCATTTAATGAGATTTTGTCATATGTTGACCAGAGATTTTGTGTGCGACATCTCCATAATAATTTTAAGAAGGCTGGTTTTTTTGGTTTGTCCCTCAAAAATGCTCTTTGGGTTGCTACAAATGCTACAACTGTGGAGTTTTTTAAAATTTGCATGGAGAAGATGCATGAATTAGATGCCGAAGCCGCTGCATGGTTGAGTGAAAAACCACCAACTGAATGGTCTAAATCACATTTTTCTACAGGTGCTAAATGTGATGTTTTGTTAAATAATGTGTGAATGTTTTAATAGTATGATTCTTGATGCTCGAGACAAGCCAATCATAACTTTGTTGGAGAAATTAAGATATCTTCTTATGGCTAGATTCCAAGCTAATAGGGAGAAAGCAGAAAGATGGAATTCAGGTGACATTTGTCCTCGGATCAAGAGCATCTTGCACAAGAATGAATCTGCTGCTACTGTATTTATTCCAAAAAAATCAAATCAGTGGAATTATGAGATTCTTGGAGCATCGATTGCCGACAATTGGGTTGTGGACCTACAAAACAGAAAGTGTAGTTGCGGAAAATGGACTATAACAGGAATTCCTTGCAAACATGCAATGTCGGCCATTTGGGCTAAAAATGATGTGGTTCTTGATTATGTTGATAATTGCTACAAAGTTGATACATATAAAAGAATTTATGAAAAGACCATCTTTCCGATCAATGGATCACAATTGTGGCCTAAATCTAATAAGGTCCCTCCTTTGCCTTCGAGATTTGTAAGACAAAACAAGAGGGGAAGAGGCCAGAAATTGAGGAGACGAGAGCAAGATGAGACAGGATCAAGTAGAACAAGAATGAAAAAAAACAAATATCTGTTAATTGTAGCTTATGTCACAAGCCTGGCCATAATATAAGGACATGCAAATTTAAAAATTATATGCAATCTGAAGTAGGTGCATATGACTCGGCTTTTTGGATGCCTCCTACTTCATCAATTCTTGAAAAGTTATCGGTAATTTTTTTTGGCATAAAATTTGATTTGGCTCTCAATTATATTGTTTTATAAATACAAAACTGATGCATTGTACATTTGCAGGTTAGAAGAGCAAATTCTGGACCAAGTCAAGATTGTTTTGATACTTAATGCGGTGTTGCTATCAATTTTGGTTGGGCTAAACATGGTGCCACAACTTTTTTTTTGTGTTAAGGACATAAGTACTGTTTGTTTTGTGAACGATATGTAGTTTGTTGCTGCTGCTATTTTATGAGCATGGTGCAATTGCTTCTCCTTTTGTTTTTTGCGAAAAGAATAGATGGTGCTGCTACAACAATGGTTCTTATGATGATAATATTATGTTGCTTTTCAAGTCATTTGCAGCTAATCTTTTTTATGTTGTGTGGATGGACTTAAGATAAGTGCTTAAGATATATTTTTTATTTTATCCAAACACTATAAAAGTGCTTAAAAGCTATTTTGTCTTAATGTACTTAAGAGTTGTGCTTGATATTCCACGGATATGATGTATAGAGGAGTTGTCACTAGTAAATAAAGGTGATATGGAGGAGTTTAATAACCATGAGATTGCACAAGAGACACCTCATTTCTATAATTGTGATGTTGTTGCTGCTATACAGAGCATACATCCTACTAACAATGTGCCTCATTATTGATGGCTCTTCCTTACTTTAGAACACCTGGCGGGGCTCTGTTCTGTTCCTCCGTGGCTTTCATTAGGAAGAGCTGGTTTTGCAGTTAGCATTTTCAGTTCTTTTGTATTTCTAGTACTATCAACAGGGGAAATAATTTTCGACTAAGGTTTTGTGCAGGTGTATCCTTGATTTACCTTTCTTATTCTTGAAAGTAGCAGTTCAATGAGGAAATATACATAGTCTAGGATTTGCAGTTCAAATTCAAAGGTTATCGTCAATAGTAAGTAGCTACTGACGTCATTCTTACATTTTTAACCTGAGTTCTCATATGGTTCTATCTGCATACATTTGTACCTTTTCTTGTGTATGAATGAATTGGTTTTGTATATACTTTGGACAATGTTTATGTGTTGTAAAGGATGAGGCTAGAGCTGTGGGGAATCTGAGGAGCGAACGATTGGCGAATCTAATAGGATGTTGCTGTGAAGGGGAGGAAAAATTGCTGGTGGCTGAGTTCATGCCTAATGAGACCCTTGCTAAGCATTTGTTTCACTGTGAGTCCAATCCCCATTGCCAGAATTTTGTAACTCAGAAATGAGAATTATAGGAACTTTATGTTGTGATGGGATTTGTTGTGATCTAGATCATAGTTAAGTCCATGATTTAGAAGTCTGAGGGAAGTGATATAAGCATAACTTATTTGTTGTTGAAGGCAGATTGACTGTTATTTTGTGTCAATTGTGTTTGCTTTTACCAACTCCAATGGAATTTATTTGAGTCTGTGGTCCATGCTGATATTTGAAATGCTTTGAAATGGAACTAGGAGAGAATCAACCTATGAAATGGGCGATGAGGTTGAGGGTTGCTTTTTATCTATCGCAAGCTTTGGACTACTGCAGTAGCAAAGGTCAGGCATTGTATCACGATCTTAATGCTTATAGAGTCTTATTTGATCAGGTAAATATTGATTCTACTGCAGTTTTTGTTATAACTAGGTTGTGTTAGGTGTAGTGCGTCTTACATTGGTTAGCGTTTTCACAGGATGGTAATCCTAGACTCTCTTGCTTTGGCTTGATGAAGAACAGTAGAGACGGGAAGAGTTATAGTACAAACTTGGCTTTCACTCCGCCCGAGTACTTGAAAACAGGTCAAATATGATTATTTTCTCAATCCAAAGTGTTGTGAGATGGAATTTTGCTGTTTACCGCAAAGCTAAATAATTTACAAATAAGTTCAGGCATTTCTTTTAGTATTATGCTACTGTCTTTCCCTTAATTCAGCTAAAGTGAAAGTTTATGATTGCCAGGAAGAGTGACCCCTGAAAGTGTAGTTTACAGCTTTGGAACAATGTTGCTAGATCTTTTGAGTGGAAAGCATATTCCTCCAAGCCATGTAAGTTGCTAAAGATTCTCTTGGACCTAAGGATGTGCACTATATGAAATCCTGTGTAAATTGAACTTTGTTTATCGACTCTATTACTCGAATTCCTAAACTTGAAGAGCATTGTTTCTTTACCTTCTTGTAGGCACTTGATCTAATTCGGGGGAAGAATTTTTTGATGCTTATGGATTCTTGTTTGGAGGGTCATTTTTCAAATGATGATGGAAGTGAGTTTGTTCGGCTAGCCACTCGCTGTTTACAGTATGAGGCACGTGAGAGGCCAAATGCAAAATCTCTCATCACTTCACTTATGTCTCTTCAGAAAGAAACAGAGGTATGACTGTGCCCCTTGACTTGCTTACAAATCACGGAAACATTTAAAGAACTACTACTTACCTTCTTTCATTTGTGAGATAAAAAATTGATCAATACCTTACAGATGAATACCTCCTTTTTGCATTTTGTTATTTCGTTGTCTAGGAACACACTATAGTAACGTTGATTCTGTTACTATAGTGTGGATATATCCTATGTCTTTTGCTATCTCATATTTTCTATTTAGTTAACAATGGAAACGAAACCCTGGTGGAATTATTTGACTTACAAGAAGGAAACATATTATATTTTAATTGCTATGTATTCCTCAGATGAATCACCTTGGTTTCTCCTTAATTTTGTTTCATATAATGCTTGGAGCTCATGTTTGCCATTGATCCAAGAAAACAGAGGTTTTGTTAATGTTTTTTGTATGTCACGTGCTCTGCACTATTCTGTTTAATTTAACAGAATTTTTTTGTGTTTGTTAGGATTTTAGGGTGAAAGATTAAATTGATAAGTTTTTAACATAAATAAAGGACCTTTTCCATAAGGTGCATATATGAGGGACCAAATCAATTCAAGTCCATACATTAAGGACTATTTTGATCATTTTCTCGTGAAACCGGCCTTGATATGGAAAAGCGAAACCCTAGGAATAGGAAGAAGGGGAATGAATAGGTGATAGAAATTAGAAAGCGGCGGAGTCCGGTAGAGATATTATCAATCATACCTTGTTCTGCCATGGAATCTTTGTTTGCAAACTATGCTTCTTCAGATGAAGAGGAACAAGTAACTCTTCCTCCCTCAAAATCAACTTCTTCTTTCCTTTCATTTCCCCCACCAAAATCCCATGATCAACAACTGCGCCGCCCACCGAATGTTGGAATTACCACTTCTTCCCTTTTCTCTGTCCTCCCACCTCCAAAGACAACCATGGAAGATCCTCCACTCCTCCCCAATTCCTCGGATCCTAAACCCAAAAGGGTTGTTCAATTTAAGCCTCCTGTCAACCCTTTTTCTCTCAAGTCTTATAGTCTGGATGAAGATGATGAAGATGAGGATGAAAAAGAAAAACAAAGAAAAAGGTCTCAATCTTTTGCTCAAACATCTTCAGTTAAATCATTTTTGTCCACCATTCCTGCTCCAAAGAACTCTACTACTTTGGGTGTTTTGGGTTCCGGCTCCGGAAGAAGATCCATCATCGAAGCAGATGTCCCTGTTCCTAATCCGGCTAGCTCGAATGAAGTTCTAGTTAATTCCAATACAGAGTACAGTGAGAGCCAGCAGATTGATGGGTCGTTTGAGAGTTCAATGGGAGGTTTTGATGGTCCCTCACAACATAATGCTGTTGCAGGTGATTGGAATGCACAGGGTTATGTAAACCATGACGGGTATGCTGGCTATGGTAATGATGGGGCTAGTGATTATTCTCATGCGGCTCCACCAAATGTGAATTATGTTGACTATGACAGTAATTATGGCACTTACACTGGTTATGAGCAGTATGGTCATAATTGGACTGATGGGTCTAGTGCAACAGAAGCATCAACAATTACTGATACGGCTGAAGTTGCATTTAGATTGCCTGGGAAGAGAGGCAGGAGTGATGCTCCACAGAATATTGTTGAGGTGAACCAGGATGAGTTGATGAAGAATCGGCCAAGGGAAGACCAAAGCAGGCTCACTGGGATTGCCTTTGGGCCATCTTACCAGGTACACTTTTACTATGTCTATGAAGTTACTTGTTCTTCAACTAAATTATGAGAGGCTTAAAGTTTAATTATAGTTGATACTTAGCACTGCATATTAATTTTGAGTATCTGGACACTATTGTGAATGTGGTGTTTGTTATTTGATTCGGTTTCTTGCTCTCTGTCTCTGCTAAGTTTGGATTTTTTAATATCCAAATTGGTCATGATGCTTTCTGCTTACTTTGAGCAGGATAAATGAATCTCAGAGATTTAGATAACTTATAGCATTGTGAGATATAGTTTTCTTGTTCCGTCAAGTGTTATTATGCATGTTTCTAGTTAATTTTTCCTTTAAGAGACAACGTTGTATTCTAGCTTCTAGTCCTTAAGATTAAAAAGTTGGCAAATGATGTTCCAGTGGGAGGATTGAGATTTTCTCTTAACTAGTAATGGTAGTTTAGATGCCTGCTCTTGCTTCTTGCATGATGCTCTAATTCATTTATCTTGTTGGTGTGTTCACGCACTAGCAAAAAGGGATTTGTTAATTATATAGTTAAGTTGATGTGAACATGAATATTTATGCATTTTCCTCTGGCATTGTTTGTTCAAAGTATTTTGTTTCTAGTGTTATTACTGATCTGACACGGAGTTGGGTCAAAATGCCCTAGAATTGAACAAAAGCCCCCCTGCTGATGGTTTGGTCCTAAAATGCCCCTATTGTTACTTTTGGGTCAAAAATACCCTTTTTCAACACATTATTCTTTTTAAACACATTCTTTTCCTAATAAAATATTATTTTTATTGAACGGATATGCTCAAGATACACCTCACTTTTGATGTAATGCGGTTGTATGCAATAATAGTAATCCAACTAGGTTAGGGTCGAATTAAAGAACTAATACTCTCAAGATACACCTCACTTTTGATGTAACATGGTCGTATGCAATAATAGTAATCCAACTAGGTTAGGGTTGAATCTACATGGAGTATTGGGAAACTCCTTCATGTTTATGTATCAGTATGACTACTCAACTTATAGCCGGTGCAACAGTTGTAGAGATTGATTGTATTAACTTAAATTATAAAACAGAAAGTAAATATGCTGAAAGTCTGTAAGTATGCTTGCAATTGTGTCCCAACAATGGATTGTTTTCTCCTTTCGATAATCATGCAATACATTCCCTTAGGGTTATAGATATGCACTCACTCTCTTTCGAGTTCATGAACAATTTATCTACATGTGATGATTCTGCAACTATATGAATTATTGACAATAAGAACGACCGATTATGCTTAAGTAGATTCAATTATATCTAATGTAAATCTATCAAACAAGGGTTAACGCCTTGAGTTCATGCAAATCTTCTTATACCAAATCTTGACCACTCTTCCAAGTTTGTAGATTAAGATATTATGTTGTAGGTTAGTATTTGCAACCACTATTCCTTTTAATTAAGCACAAAAAGAAGTTTGATAACTAACCACTCTAGTAATATGCGATTTCCAGAAAACCTTATGAACTACACAATCTCATTGGGTTTCACAACCTCAGTAGAGGATATGAATACCAGATTTAGCTACTCATACTGATATAGAAATAAGAAGAATAAGGATTAAAAAAAGGTTGAAAGCTTGAATAAAGTTGAAGGCTTTACTCAAGAACTATAAAAACTGTAAACTTTGGATGAGAAGAACTACTACAACTAAATTACTAAAAAATCTTGACTACTACTATTTTTTTTTTTTGACAAAGGTAACAATGACTACTACTATTCTCGCCTCTTCTTTTACAATTGAAGCCAATATGCCTATTTATAATTGTCCAAGAAAGTAGAATTCTAAACAAATAAGGTAAGCTCCACCAATAGACTTCTGCGACCAACTCCACGACCATCACCTGTTCTATGGGCCGTGGACTCAATGATTGCTCATTAGGTTTTCCTGGAGTCGTGTTATGTTTTATTTCACGGCTGTGCTTTGGTTTCACTAGCACTCATATACTCTTCCACTGTTGTCACACTTCTGTTCACCTCTTCGTACATACGTTTTTGGAATTTATGTAATTGTCATAAAGTCTTTTCTTCTCAAGCACCAACAGGAGCCCTTTTTTATGTCACTGTACATAACGCGGAGATCAATTTTTCTCTCATTAAAAGTTTTCATGAACTTGTTAATAAAAACAGTCTCTGTGATAGATCTTCCAAGCATGGGATTTAACCTTGTTTTCTTTTCTATTATCCTTGTTTTTTTCTAAACCTATACACTTTATCACTTTTTTCTCACAAAGATTCAAAGCATGTCTCATAAGCTTCAAAGAGATGGCAGTAAGCTCTTTGAATATCTCCTCTATTCTTAATATTCTATTCACTTGTTCGACATTCATACACATTAATTTTGCAATGAATAGCTTGGTTAGTTATACAATTGCCTCTTTGAGGCACTTATAAACCCCTACAGGGATATAAATTGAACCACGAGTTTTTTTCTAATCCTCATATTTTTGGCATACTTTGTGTCACTAAGTGGGCATTTGGCCATCAGAATTTTTTCCCCAATTTTTTTGGATTTTTTCAAAGTTGGAGTTGTGTTTGACCATACTTTTTTAATAGTTATTTGGATTTTGGATGTACTTTCAAAAAAACATGACATATATTTTAAATGAGGTTAGTTATAAAAATAAGAAAATTAGGAGGTTTAACCAAGGCTTAGCTATATTTTGGGAGTTTTCAAATTCTAAATACAACTTCAAGTTGTATTTGGAATTTTTATGGCCAAATGGTGATTTTCAAACGAAGTGAAATTTTTTTCAGAAAAAAGTGAAATTCCCGTGGCCAAACGGATCATAAAACTGATTTTTTAGGTGAACTAAAATCATTAAAGTGATCCCCATGATTTGCCAGGGTCGTGCAACCCCTCATGTGACACTTTTGCTTTCATGTGGGACTTGGCTTTCCCCGCTTTTCATTTTGATTTCCTCTTTTGTATGTGCTGCACTAGTTTCCTGATTTTCGCTTGCTGCTTTGATTTTAAAATGTAAGTATTTTTTCATTTTCCCCTTTTCTTCACTTGTTGATTTGCATATTTTGATAATTGGTTAATTGTATTCTTCAACATTAATGTTCAAAACTGTTTTTGTTTTGAGCCGAGGGTCTATCGGAAAACAGCCTCTCTGCCTCACCTCTGAGGTAGAGGTAACTGTACACTCTATCTTCTCCAGACCCCACTCTGTGGAACTACACTAGGTATGCTGTTGTATTCTTCAGCATTAAGGAGATGCTGGCCACCTTCAAAAAGAGATTACAGCCATAACCAAAACAGGCTTACAAACACCCTATTAAATCTGTAGTTTGATCCACATCCTCTGTACAAAGTTGTTTACACCAAAAATGTAAAGCTACTAAACAATTCCATTTTACTTTGTGAATGGAATTGGAGCTATCTTCCAAACATCTGCCATTTCTTTCTCTCCACACAAACCACCATATACATGAATGTAATAACTTCCACCATCTCTTCTGAGTCTTGCTACCCCTCTTTTTAATCCAACAGTTCAGTAGATCAGAGGTGTGTTCCAGCATAGTCCAATGAGCTGGTGATGTTGAGGAACAACTCCCAGAGTTGAGTAGTGAACTTGTGTAGGATTAAGGGTGTGTTTGGTATGAAGGAAAATGTTTTCCTAGAAATTGTTTTCCTGGAAAACAAGTTGATTTTTGACTTATTTTCTCATGTTTGGTTGGTGAGTAGAAAATATTTTCCGGAAAAGATTTTTAGTGTTTGATTTATGAATTAAAAATATTTTTGAGAAATATATTTTATTT